GCTGCGATTTTTTAAGTGAGAACGCGCTTTTTTTTGGGCTACATTTTTGACTTGTTGAAAGTTTCAAAGTTTTTCGAAAATCATCGAGTGATCGGAGTCAACTGAAAATTTGTAAACTCTCGACGAAAGGCTTCTTCTATAAGTATGCAAAAGCTCAAAATTCAGTCGCGACCAGTTCAGACGCTGCGATTTTTAAGTGCGAATTCGCTCTTTTTGGGCTACATTTCTGACTAGCTGAAAGATTCAACCGGAATCAACTGAAAAGTCTGGCTCTTTCTCAATGGTTTCTCCATCAACCTCTGATCCGCACTTTCAAAAATGCATAACGACTAATCGAATATTTATGCAGACGCTCATAATCTCATTGTACATTGTAAAGTTTCTCAAACAATCTAAACCTGCAGGTGGCGAAGAAGGAGCGCGTTACGGCCCCAGTCTGATGCCTGGAGGCAACAAAGAGGCCTGGCCGTACATAAAGGATATTTTCCAAAAAATAGCCGCCAAAGCCGACGGTGAGCCATGCTGTGATTGGGTGGGCAACGACGGAGCCGGACACTTCGTCAAAATGGTGCGTTTTTAGATCCACACTCAAACCAACTTATTTTTTAGAACAAATTCCTGATTTAATTCGTGCTTCAAGGCGTCGCAAAGACCCTGAACTGAACCCAAACTGAAATCTTTCAGGTGCACAACGGAATCGAATACGGCGACATGCAACTGATCGGTGAAGTCTACCACCTGATGCAAGCTTTGGGTATATCGCAAGACCAAATGGCCGAAACGTTCCAGGAATGGAACTGTGGAGAATTGGATAGTTTCTTGATCGACATCACCAAAGACATCCTCAGGTACAAGGACAAGGATGGACAGTATTTGTTGCCCAAAATCAGGGACACTGCCGGGCAAAAGGGAACCGGAAAATGGACCGCAATTGCCGCCCTTAACTACGGAGTGCCCGTCACTCTAATAGGGGAGGCTGTTTTTAGTCGTTGTCTTTCCGCCCTTAAGGTAAGACACACATTTTGAGGCCTACAGTGCAGAAGCTGCGATTTTTTTTTATTACCGCCGCACATTTTTTGGCCCTTCATTTCTGACTTGATGAAAATTAACGAGAAATCATCTGCAGTTTCGTACACTTATGCGTAAAGCCCTCTTCTATAATTGTGCCAAGACTCAAAATTCCGTCGTCCTCAGTTCAGAAGTTGCGATTTTTCAAGTACGAGCGTGACATTTCTGACTTACTGAAAATTTCAAAGTTTCTAAAAAATGAAAGAGCAGTCGGATTCAACCGAAATTTCGTAAACTTATGAATAAAGACCTTTTCTATAAGTATGCAAAGGCTCAAAATTCCATCGTCCCCAGTTCGGAAGCTTCGATTTTTTAAGTTCAAGCGTGCATTTTTTCGACTTCATTTCTGATTTGCTAAAAGTTATCAAGCTTATAGAAAATCAATGAGTGATCGGAGTGAACTGAAAATTCGTAGACGAAACGATTCTTCTATAAGTATGCGAAAGCTCAAAATTCAGTGGCGACCAGTTCAGACGCTGCAATTGTTTAAGTGCGGACGCGCTCTTTTTGAGCTACATTTCTGATTTGTTGATAGTTTCAAAGTTTCTCGAAAATCATCTAGTGATCGAAGTCAACTGAAAATTTGTAAACTTTTGACGAAAGGCTTCATCCATAAGTATGAAAGAGCTGAAAATTTAGTTGCGTCCAGCTCAGAAGCTGCGATTTTTTTAAGTCCGGACGAGCTCTTTTTTGGCTGCATTTCTGACTTGCTGAAAGTTTCAAAGTTTCTCCGAACTCATCGAGTGAACGGAATCAACTGAAAATTCGTAACTCGTTGACCAAAGGCGTCTTCTATAAGTATGCTAAAGCTCAAAATTCAGTGGCGACCAGTTCAGACGCTGCGATTTTTTAAGTGAGAACGCGCTTTTTTTTGGGCTACATTTCTGACTTGTTGAAAGTTTCAAAGTATTTCGAAAATCATCGAGTGATCGGAGTCAACTGAAAATTYGTAARCYYTTGACGAAAGKCKTCTTCTAYAAGTATGCAAAAGCTCAAAATTCAGTCGCGACCAGTTCAGAYGCTGCGATTTTTAAGTGCGGACACGCTCTTTTTGGGCTACATTTCTGACTAGCTGAAAGTTTCAAAGTTTCTCGAAAATCATCGAGTGACAGGAATCAACTGAAAATTYKTAAACTCTTTGACGAAAGGCTTCTTCTATAAGTATGCAAAAGMTCAAAATTCAGYSGCGACCAGTTCAGACKCTGMKATTTTTAAGTGCGRACGCGCTCTTTTTTGGGCTACATTTCTGACTWGCTGAAAGTTTCAAASTTTYTCGAAAATCATCGAGTGAYYGGARTCAACTGAAAAWTCGTAAGCCTTTGAMGAAAGGKTTCTTCTATAAGTATGCAAAAGCTCAAAATTCAGTAGCGACCAGTTCAGACGCTGCGATTTTTTAAGTGCGGACGCGCTGTTTTTGGCCTACATTTCTGACTAGCTGAAAGTTTSAAAGTTKCTCGAAAATCATCGAGTGACCGGAATCAACTGAAAATTCGTAAGCCTTTGACAAAAGGCTTCTTCTATAAGTATGCGAAAGCTCAAAATTCAGYSGCGWCYAGTTCAGACGMTGCGATTTTTTAAGTGCGGAYRCSCTCTTTTTGRGCTACATTTCTGAYTTGYTGAWAGTTTCAAAGTTTTTMGAAAATCATCRAGTSRYCGGMRTCAACTGAAAATKYGKAARCYTTTGACSAAAKGCTTWKTCTATAAGTATGCRAAAGCTCAAAATTCAGTSGCGACCAGTTCAGACGCTGCGATTTTTTTAASTGCGGACRCGCTCTTTTTKGGCTACATYTCTGACTWGCTGAAAGTTTCAAAGTTTYTMGAAAATCATCGAGTGACCGGAATCAACYGAAAATTCGTAAGCCTTTGAMGAAAGGSTTCTTCTATAAGTATGCRAAAGCTCAAAATTCAGYSGCRAYCWGTTCAGAMKCTRCGMTTTTTTAAGTGCGGACRCGCTCTTTTTKKGCTRCATTTCTGACTTGCCGAAAGTTTCAAAGTTTCTCCAAACTCATCGAGTCACCGGAATCAACCGAAAATTCGTAAGTCTTTGACCAAAGGCGTCTTCTATAAGCATGCAAGTTCAAAATTTCCTGATGCGCTCTTTTTGGGCTTTATTTCTGAGCTGCTGAAAGTTTGTAAAAAATCATCGAGGTTGCCGGAATCGACCGAAATTTCGAAAGTTTATGAGTAGAGGAGACTTACTGAAGATGGAATAATAAAAAAATCTAAATTTCAGGACGAGAGGCAAAAGGCCAGCAAAGTACTGCCGGGGCCCACCGCTAAATTCTCAGGCGACACGAAGAAATTCCTGGAAGAAATCAGACAGGCGCTTTATGCGAGCAAAATTGTATCCTACGCTCAGGGCTTCATGTTGCTGCGGGAAGCGGCTGGAGTCCACAACTGGAAGCTGGATTACGGAGCGATAGCGCTCATGTGGCGCGGCGGTTGCATCATCAGATCCGTCTTCCTGGCTCAGATCAAGAACGCCTTCGACTCAGACAAGAACTTGCGATCACTTCTGCTGGCGCCGTTTTTCTTGACTGCGATCACAAAAGCCCAAACCGGCTGGAGGAACGTGGTTGCGACAGCAGCCACATTAGGTACGTAAACTTAAGGCCCCCAAACAAAACTTTAAGTTCTAATTGAATGTGTTTTAGGCGTTCCCACTCCTGCTCTGAGTACGGCACTGGCTTTCTACGATGGATACCGAACGGAGCGTTTGCCAGCTAATCTTTTGCAGGCCCAGCGGGATTATTTTGGGGCCCACACTTACGAGCTGTTGGGACAAGAGGGCACGTTTGTCCACACCAACTGGACAGGCACAGGCGGCAATGTTTCGGCCTCCACTTACGATGCGTGATGTTTATGGTTTTTGTTGACTTTTATAATTTATGTTGTGAATCAGGGATATATTTTGTATGGTCTTTGTTTAATTAACTGCAAAGTACACTATGGTTAAAAAAAGTTTAGTTTTTTTCGTTAGTTACGTTTTTACCGGGACTCCATTTTCGCCCCTTATCCAATTTCTTTCTAAGAGTGCGTCGAATTGAGACTCGTTCTCAGTTCGGGAACAAATGCTTTTTAAGTCTGGAAAGTGTTCAATTCAGCAGCGCTTGATTTCTTCCCCTCATTTATTTTTTAACTAAACTTTTGAAATATTTCCAATTTCTTCATCTTGTTAACCAGATTATTTTTACAGTGTTTACTATAGAAATCGAGCTTCAAATAAGGGTCCAATTCAAGTTTCAAAGTAGCAAATGAGCGACAATTTTAGCGCTTTAAAACAAGACGAAGTTTACAATTGAAGGCGGCAACAAACAACAAACAAAACCCGTTAAATTCTATTGGCCTGAAGACTCAAAGTAGCCTGTTTTAGTTAAGTAGGTTTTTGTTGCCAAATTAATTTTTTATGCGAAAAAATTCGCAGGTGAGTAAGTCAAGAACTCGGTTAAAAACGGAATTTTTATTATTTCTTCCTTTTTTAAGCAAAAGACAGTGCTCAAGGATCAACCGTTTCTCAGCGTGTTTTAATCTTCGAAAGCGACCAAATATTTACATTTTTGCTGCTATTCCTTGGACTAACAACACAAAATAGCCGGTTTTAGCGGTTTTTTTTGCGTCGAGTTCAATCTCCCAAGATTGCTGAGTTTTTATCAAACTACATCCATTCAAATGCCATGTTTGATGAAACTTATAAATTCGCAACTGACCGAAGAAGTGCGCCAGCGACTGATCTTAAGGGGACACAATAATAGAAAACTGTTTGGTGAATTCCATTAAAAGTTGTTTGAATTTAGGTACCAATAAACACCCTTTAATAAGTAATATACCTATTAGAAATAATCCAACCAGCCCTATTGAAAATGCAAGAACGGCTTAATTTGGGGTGTAATTTACGGAATGAAAGGGTAATTTTCTTGAAAACCGCATTTGTTTACGTATAATACCGAAGTGAAATAAATGAAAACTGGCTCGCAGTTCTTCGTCGAATAAATATTACATAGGACAACTGTATTATAAAATAAAAATTATTTGAGATTAAAAAGAATATAAAAACTTACCGAAAGCTGCATCGTGCCACCTGGAAATATCGAAAAATCAAAAAACCAAATCGCAATTATTTCAAATTAGCAAGAGAAAGAAGAAGAAATAGATAAAACTTCATCGGAAAACTAAACTTTGTTCAAACTAAGAGATATACAGGGTGTCTCAGAAACGAGTACAATAAATGCAGGAATACTTAATAGGCCTTGCCCAAATATGAAAAAAATCCTTGGATTTTACGGTAAGAATTTCTAAGACCCCTGTATAGATTAGAAATCATTATTACCAGCTTTCTGCAAGCTGGCGCCCCATCCCCCATTTTCTGCCCATTAATCCTAAAAAACTCCACACTATACTTGAACGCTCAATGAAGATCCACACCAAATTGAAAGCACTTGCCCTGGAGGACCTGCTCAAATCACTCTGTATATCAAAAGCTCGAAGCTCAAAAGACCGACAGACTACTCGGTTCCACGCCCGTAATACACTGAATGTTTATTAAAGGGAAAATTTGGAAAAAACTCGTACAATATTGAGATTCTTACCAGTCCGAACGCACCGCGCTACAGAACTATAATGATGATATAATCGTTTGCTTGATCGTCTCTAGGATTTCTCATCGCTTTGCTGTCCGATTGCAGTTTTTTTTATTGTGGACAATGTTGTAGAAAGTGCCTGTTCGCACGGCAATATTTTCAAAAACAATTTTCACGTTCCAACTGGTTTGGAAGATCGACGTAAACAAAACAGTTTTTGCAGCCAAAGATAAACTAAACACGGATTCCGACTAGGTTTTTATGAAACTTTGACCCTTTCTGCTTGATGTTGCGTAGGGCCTGCCTACATGGCAGATTTACATACAAATCATACCATGATTTCCGAATGCTTCACTTTGCCCATACCGTTAAGAGCGGCGGAATTCAAACTGGGTTTTCACACGAACGTTTGGATTAACTTTTTTATGTTCATTTTTTATAAGACTTTGAAGTTTGGGTGGCGTTATGTTGACAAGGGTACATTTAAAAGTTAAAAGTATTCAACGGCTACTTCCGTTTTAATCGGAAATGTCATTGTTTTGAAATATTTTTCATTTATCGAACCACTTGCTTTAGCCAGATCAAACTCTTTCATGACTCTCGGAACTCTACTTGCAAACGGGTCCCTGTGTGAACCCTGTATTACAGTAATCATGTAGTAGAGTAACTCATGAACTTTATTTCGCCATATTTTCCCAGTAGTAAATTCAAATCTCCCGCTAAACACCACCGGTGAGAAAACGTATTGTTCTGCCAATTAACGAAACATGTTGCAAATTAAAAACCATAACCTCAATGGTCTGCGTCTTAACCTAACCCTAACCTGTTTTTATGTATGAACCTAACCAAATATACCGATGAAAACATTGTGACTGGTGCAAACAGGAAAAAGCCATGGATAAATCCATCGAGAACGAATTACAAATCAGGCTGATCACCAAACAGGACATGTAAGTTGCTGCCGCCTAATTATCCAGCAGTTTTCGGCAAGAGCCCCCATTTTCTAGCTATGCAGTCCCCGATGACCCGATCACTGTGCAGGCCTCTGTTGACTGCAAAGAACTGAACGAGCTGTTGAACCAGCTCCTGAAGGCATCCAATCCAGACTTCCTGAAACCCAAAGAGTTCGACTTTCTGGCCTTCGGCCAACTGATCAGGCTCCCTTTAACTGCACACCTGCAAGAACACGCTGGCTCTGACGAAAGCACTGTGGATGTGGAGTATATCGAAAGAACGCCAGCTCCGGAGCCCCAAGATACCATTTTGCATGACGATTGGGTGGCTTCGGTGCAAAGCACCGATAAATGGTAATTATTCTATAAGCTGGGCCCTGTTTCGGCATATCAATGTATGGGTGTTGTTGTCCACAGGATCTTAACTGGGTGCTACGACAATTCAGTGAACATTTGGACGCATCACGGGAAGCCTGTGGCTTCAGTCAAAGAGCACACGGAGATTGTTAAGGGCGCCACGTGGGTGGACCGAGCTGATCCTTCAAAAGGATTCATTTCAGTGTCGCACGACCAGACGGCGATTATCTGGAGTTGGGAGGAAGGCACTGACAAATTATGCCCCAACATTACATTGAGAGGCCACGAAAGAGGCATCGACAGTGTGGATGTGAGCAAAAACTCTCATCTACTAGCCACGGGAGGGTAAGCAATAAGCAAATTTTTTGAGACGAGTCTCACTATGAGATTCCCCCTCATGGTTGCTTTCATTTAAGCATTCAAAAAACTTTTTAATTGCAAATTAATCACAACAAAGTAAGAAACTTCAATGCAAGAATTTTAGATTTATATTTTCAATTTGGATTGGAGGTGGTATTGTGATAAGTTCTAGAATATGGGATTTTATTACAGTATCCTAAGGGATACGAAGACGAAATAAATTACTGCGAAGTTGCCCATTTTGAGGCTTAACAAAATGGTGTTTTAAAATTGCGAAAATTCCGACTACTTACAGGCTTAAATCAGAACCGTACTAGAAAATTTCGGGTTTTTTTGAATATTTCTGAAAGTAATTTTTAATAAACGCCATTTTCTTCAGCATCGTAATTCGAAACTTTCCCCTAATTTAACTTGTTTTGTATCTGTGGCAGTTTACCAGATTCCCATGCTAACAGCTCGCATTTGTAACACTCTGCAGTCAACACTTAATGCTTAAAATGCGGACATTTTCTAGCTGGGACACTAATTTGAAAATCTGGTCGGCTTCATTGGATGTGGACGACTCAGGGGAGCCAACCAGCAAAAGAAGCAAAGGAACCAACAGAAACTCCAGCGTGCGAACCCCCTTACACACCCTGAAAGGGCACAAAGAGAGCATATCGTCGATAAATTGGGTGGACAGTCACACGGTTTGCACAGCTTCAATGGACCATACGATTAAGTTCTGGGATTGCCAAGTAAGAGTGATGTTTGATTGATTAAACCGCGGCAGATTTTCAGTAGAATATAATTTCCAGCTATATGGAATTTCCAATGAAATAGTGGATCAGAAGGCCTTTCTGAGCTCTTCGTGGTCGCCGCTCAGCAACACTCTCCTTGCCACTTCAGCAGACAGATTCATTCGCCTCTACGATCCGCGGTCTACTGAAGGAACCGTCTGCAAGTCCAAATTCACGTCGCATCAACTTTGGGTAAATTCGCCCCTATTTTAGTAAAGCCAGACGATTAATTTATGGGGGTTTTGCAGGTGAGCAGCGTGGCCTGGTCGAAATACGATGAACACTTGTTCCTCTCAGGCAGCTACGATGCAACAGTCAAAATGTGGGACACTCGAAGCGCAAAAGCGCCCCTGTATAATCTGCAGGGCCACGAGGGCCAGATACTGGCAGTGGATTGGTCGAATGATAAATACCTGGTGTCAGGAGGCACCGATAACAGTGTTCATATATTCAAAAATAGACATCCCAAGTAATGTGATTGGCTACTGAATAGCCAACTAATAAAAGTGAACGACAATATCAAAGTCTCTCTGTCAGGTAACCCACAGCTAGCGCCAGCTTGAAAAGGATGAGAACCTAAAACAAACCCACTGGTTAGCGGATGATTTTCTAAATCTCGTCAAAAGTACTTCATTAGAAGGTGCAGGTGAGTGATGATCGAAAAGAAACGGAAATGTCCGACGGTTTGTCATATTATTTGGGCATACTCAGGACATTGCGTTCCATTGGCCCTGAGGATGCCCGGCAATTTTAAAAGCAAACTTTTGTTTCTACTTTGTTCCACATTCCGTTCCGCAAAAAGAAAAGTATGTAATATTTACTTAGCCATCCTCAGGGCCAATGCACTGCAATGCAATGAATATGATAAAACGTCGACAATTTTAAAAACAGACTTGTTCTTACATCGTCGATCGAACTGGACCATTAAGAACAATCGTAAAAATCGTAAAAAGCAGCATTAGCGCCCCATACACGAGCGAAATATCTGTCATATCTGATACGTGGCGAGCCAAATTTGAAGAAATATCGGTGCGTTAATGGTTAACCAAGATCCAGATACGACTAGATGCGAATTTCGTACAAAATAAATCTGCAGATCTGGACTTGCGGACCAAATTTTGCCGTTAGTGGGTACGGGCGAATACTAGTATCAGATATTATTGCCGCCTAAGCAGTCATGCTATTGCCACACTTCCGCGGCTTAAAGAAAATACATATTCAGATAAAATTTAACGGTTGACATTGGTACAGATTTGAGATATAGTGTATAATGCTATAATTCAAGCAATGGGCAAGAGGTGATGATGGAAAATTTGGGTATAAAAATCTTGGAAGATGATGAGATAGTAGCTCATGTCACAGGAGAAAATCACTACTTCGATCACGAAGACGAAGCTATTCAGAAAATACCCAGTAAATAGGTGGTCAATTAATTTAATTTGTGTCTACGTTGGGCCGAAGAAAATGAATTGCCACTGTATGAAGTGATTCTTCGTATTTGAATTATAGATATGTTACAGACGGTATATAGATAAGTTCTATATTGTTGAGGCGGATTCATTTTTTTACAAACTTCTTGTTGGGTATTTCACCTCAAAAATTTTAGTCTTAAAAAAAACAGAATTTCCTCCCGTCTTCTATTACAGATTGATAAAT